ATGACGTGCTCGCTGACGTCCAGGTCGATCTGCTGCTCGATCGCGCGCAGGACGAGCCTGTCGAGCTTGTCGGGCCACTTGGCCGCGGCCCTGGTCTTCTTCTCGTTCTCGAGCGGCACGTGGTCGTGTCTGTGGTCGCACTTCAGGCCGCGCAGCGCCTCGTAGACCGCGACCGCCGTGGTGAGGAACCGCTTCGGCTTGTAGTGCGGCTCGCCCGTCTCCTCGTCCGCGTAGCCGAGCATGCAGCCGTGGGGGGTGCACTCAAGCAGCACACCCTTCTCGACGAGCTCCCTGGTCCTCTTCATCTCGGGCTCGTTGTAGGCGCTGGAGCCGAGAGGCTGCTCCAGCAGCACGTGCCTGCCGCGGCTCACGCGGTCCGCCAGGGCCAGTAGCGGTCTCGTCGCCTCCTGTGCCTCGTAGACGGTCGCCGCCGCAGCGCCGCTCTTGGCCTTGTTGCTGCGACCCCAGTCTCCCCACGGGCCGCACGGCATCGTGATGACCGTCATGTAGGGGTCCTCCTCCAGCGACTGGTTGCGAGCGAACTGCCTGCCCTTCCGCGTAGCGCCGTCCCAGCCGTCGGAGATGTCCAGGGGCTGGCCGCAGTTGTAGCCGTACGTGGCCGTCGCGAGCAGGGTGAGGCCGAACTGACCGCAGAAGATCTGCTTGATCAGCGTCTTGCCCCTTGGCAGGCGCCTCCTCCTTACCGTAGTGCCGGCCATCACCTCCATGGTGGTCGCCTCCACGGTCATCAGGTCCTCGTGCATGGCCTGAACCTTCTTCGCGCGCCTCGAGCTCGCCATCCTCATGTACTCGTCCTCGCCCCAGTCGATCTGGGATCCTCGAAGACCTCCTCGATGGGTTCGTGGTGGGTCCGCTCCAGCGCGTACGTGGCCAGCACCTCCGAGGAGTCGATGCAGTCCGTCTGGATGCCGTCGCCGTCCTGCCCGTCCTCAGGCAGAAACTCTTGGAACTCCTCGCCGAAGACGCTCGAGTCCGGGAAGTCCAGCAGGTTGACTCCGAGGTGACCGCACGCCGTGTCGATAAGCTTGTAACCGTACACGCCGAGCTTGGTGAAGTCCGCGATCTTCTTGGCAACGTCGATCACGGTGCCGAGCCTCTGCTGCGAGCCTCGGCTGATGAGCAGGGGGGCTTCCTGGTCGAGCTCCGCCGACTCCAGCGCGAACGGCTGGCCGCCGATCCCTGCGGGCATGTTGTACACCGTGTCCGACTTAGCTCCTCCACCGACGCCTCGAAAGGTAGTGTCCTTGGAGCGCGGGTCCGTCTTCAAGCTCTTCTCGTGCAAGGCCTGCTCGTAGCTGATCCTCCAGGGCTTGCCGTGCATCGTAGCCTGGCACGCCGTGTCCAGGACTGCCACTCCCGGTGGATCCTTCCTTCTCGTAGCGTACGCGTCGACTTCGTCAGGCACGGGGTCGATCATCAGGACCTTGAAGCCCTGCACCGCCACTCTGCTCCTGCTGCGCCTCGGGAGCGCTGTCCGCACTCCACTCGCCGATCGCCGAGAGCCAGATCAGGTACCACGCGAGCCGATACTGGTCGAGCCTGAGCTTGCCGCCCGGCGCCTCCTGGCCCATGGACCTCTTGATGATGTTGACGCCGTAGGCCACCGCCGACGTCCTCTCGGCGGACTCGGCGAACGTGAAGCCTGAGTACTTGCCCGTCTTGATCTTCTCGATCCCCTTCGGCGGGTCCTCGACGTTGAGGCCGTCCAAGTCCTGGTCGAAGTCCGCCGGGTACGCCACGTAGACCTCGTCGTCCTCCGCCTCGTGCCCCTCGGCCTCCGCGCCGGGGTCCACGGCCTCGCCGCCATCCTTGAGCTCCTCCTCCAGGTCGGACTCCGGGACCTCGATCTCCTCCGCCGCGCGCCGGGTCCTCGACGCTGCCGATCTCGACGAGCTCGCCCCTCCAGTGTCAACCTGGACGAGGCGGCGCTGCTGCCTCAACCTGGTTGCCGACTGTCGCGTTGTCCGGTACCCGTCACAGAACCTGCGCCCTCTCGGCGTGAAGAGCAGCGAGCACATCATGAACCTCCAGAGTCCCTGCCCGTCCTTTCGTCCAGATCCAGGCCGATAGGCCTTGGTGACGTGGATACCGTTCTCGTCGCACATGTGGCACGTCAGGTAGCGCGTGATCCCGTTGGCGCCCTTGAAGAGCGTCGGGTCCGCGTTGAGAGCATGCTCGCAGGGTACGCTCATGACGGACAGTGGCGAATGGCTCCGTCTCAGTGGCGGGTCGTACGTGATGTCAATCGTCATCGTCATCGGATCCGCCTTCGGCTTCGGCTTCGCCTTGGGTCGAGCCTTGGGTCGAGCTCCCAGGCCGCTAGCCGAGGTGACGTAAACGCTCTTGACGTCGCCGCCGTCGCCGCTGTAGTCCGTCACGCTGAAGTAGCTGGCCTTCGGCCTGTCCGAGTGGGGTTGCGATGATCTCGATGACTTCGGGCAATTCGCATCTCCATGCCAATGTCCGATCTGTCCACAGCTCGCGCAGCGTGTCGTCTTCTTCAGCTTGTCGAT